GCCGAGGCTGAAGACAAGCACGCACAACGAGAGGCCGAGGCTGAAGACAAGCACGCACAACGAGAGGCCGAGGCTGAAGACAAGCACGCACAACGAGAGGCCGAGGCTGAAGACAAGCACGCACAACGAGAGGCCGAGGCTGAAGACAAGCACGCACAACGAGAGGCCGAGGCTGAAGACAAGCACGCACAACGAGAGGCCGAGGCTGAAGACAAGCACGCACAACGAGAGGCCGAGGCTGAAGACAAGCACGCACAACGAGAGGCCGAGGCTGAAGACAAGCACGCACAACGAGAGGCCGAGGCTGAAGACAAGCACGCACAACGAGAGGCCGAGGCTGAAGACAAGCACGCACAACGAGAGGCCGAGGCTGAAGACAAGCACGCACAACGAGAGGCCGAGGCTGAAGACAAGCACGCACAACGAGAGGCCGAGGCTGAAGACAAGCACGCACAACGAGAGGCCGAGGCTGAAGACAAGCACGCACAACGAGAGGCCGAGGCTGAAGACAAGCACGCACAACGAGAGGCCGAGGCTGAAGACAAGCACGCACAACGAGAGGCCGAGGCTGAAGACAAGCACGCACAACGAGAGGCCGAGGCTGAAGACAAGCACGCACAACGAGAGGCCGAGGCTGAAGACAAGCACGCACAACGAGAGGCCGAGGCTGAAGACAAGCACGCACAACGAGAGGCCGAGGCTGAAGACAAGCACGCACAACGAGAGGCCGAGGCTGAAGACAAGCACGCACAACGAGAGGCCGAGGCTGAAGACAAGCACGCACAACGAGAGGCCGAGGCTGAAGACAAGCACGCACAACGAGAGGCCGAGGCTGAAGACAAGCACGCACAACGAGAGGCCGAGGCTGAAGACAAGCACGCACAACGAGAGGCCGAGGCTGAAGACAAGCACGCACAACGAGAGGCCGAGGACAAGCATTCACAACGAGAGGTGAAGCTGCCAGAGATAGTGGCAGAGACGAGGCGAGCAGAACTAGAGGTCCAAGTTGCACTGGAGAAAGCTAAGCGACTGGACGCTTAAGGTACCCCACCCAACAACCCTGCCCCCATCACTATTCAACCCCCCAGGAGGCTCCCCATGTACCAATTAGGGGATAATGTCGAGGACTTCTTTGTCTACTGTGAGAGGGCCTGCAGGGGTACAACATTCCTCCTAGTCAGTACATGATGGGAGTTAAGATCACAAGTCACTGGTCCCTTACTGGGGGTGGCAGCTGACCTGCCAGGGAACTCGGTAAACGATTATGAATTGTTTCAGCAAGAGGCCAGACTCAGGATGGGGCTCACTCTCGAACAGGCCTGGTGTCGCTTCAGGGCCTCCAAATGGACCCCAACCACACCATTCCCCGAACATGCCAGTCGTGTACTCAAAAGCTGGGAAACATGGCTCTCTGGAGAGAAGGCCCACACCTGAGAAGAAATCTCTCTCCTGATGCAGATGGAACAGTTCCCCGAGGGTGTTCCGGGAGAGATCAGAGGGTACATCCAGGACGGAAAACCAAAAAACATAAGAGAGGCAGGAGTGCTCGGGGCCTGATGAATGGAGCTAGGAGGAAAAGCAGCCCGGAGAGCAGTCTGAGGGGGACCTCCTACAACCGGGGATCCTCCTGGCCCCCACCTCGCAGAGAAGGGCCCTATACACCTCCAGGGAGACCCCAGACTTTCCCTCGTCCCTCCACTCCATCCACCGGGAACCCTCCCCGCTCCAGTGATACACCCGTGATACGATGCTTTAAATGGAATGAAATGGGGCATGTCAAGGCCGACTGTCCCAAGAGCACCAACAGGCTGCAGCTCATCACCCTGGGGTCAGCACAAGAAGCCTCAGGCCCAGAGGCCTCACACATCCCCCCCAGAGTGGAGGGAGACTGAGTGTGTGGGGGACGGGAGGTTGTTGCATGGAGGGACACCGGAGCACAGGTGTCAGTGAACCACCAATCTCTAGTGGACCCCAAAGCCATTGACCCGGAGACTCTAGTCACCGTTCACCCCTTCAAGGCCGACCCCTTCGACCTGCCTACTGCCACGTTACCAGTTCAGTACAAGTGCTGGTCAGGGACTTGGACTTTCACAGTGTATGATGACTACCCCATTCCTATGCTGGTTGGGGGAGATTTGGCCAACCATGTAAAACAGGCTACGAGGGTGGGAGTGGTCAGGAGTAGCAAGGTTACCCAGGCATCCACACCTAAAACCTCTCCTGAGCCTACCAGGGGTCAGTGGGGGAGATTTGGCCAACCATGTAAAACAGGCTACGAGGGTGGGAGTGGTCAGGAGTAGCAAGGTTACCCAGGCATCCACACCTAAAACCTCTCCTGAGCCTACCAGGGGTCAGGCTGTGCACCCAGATACCCCGACTCCTGCGGTGACAGCACCCGACCCCAGAACAGTAGCTACAATTGCAGCCCTTGATCTAGTTCCTGAGTCCCAGGTGAGGCCGACCCAAGAGCCAGAATGGATGGGGCAACCAGTACCAGGATCGGAACCGGCCACAGAGGGCGCCATGGAGTCAACAGCAACAGCTGAATCTGCACAGGAGGCCCCGCAGGAGCCTGCAATGCAAACCCATACCCCGGAAGGAAGTGATCCCCGCCTGTAGAGGTACCCCCCTCCCCTGTAATGCTTCTTGTTGGACCTGATGTGACGTCTCCAGCTTCGAGGGAGCAGTTCCAGGCAGAACAAGAAGCAGATGAGAACCTCCAAGGCGCTTGGACAGCGGCCAGAAGTGAACCACCGCCTCTCAGCTCTACCAACAAACCAGGTTTGTGATAGAAAGAGGACTGTTATACCGAGAGTCCCTTTCTAGGGGACACCAGGAGGACTGGCATCCTCAGAGACAGCTGGTGGTTCCTACTAAGTACCAGGAAAAGCTCTTAAGCTTAGCCCACGATCACCCTAGTGGCCATGCTGGGGTGAGCTGAACCAAGGACCGGTTGAGAAGGTCATTCTACTGGGAGAGGATGGGCCAGGAGGTTACTGGCTATGTCCGTATTTGTACAGTGTGCCAACAGGTGGGGAAGCCCCGAGACCAGGTCAGCCCCTCCCCATCATAGAGGTCCCGTTCCAGCATGTAGCTGTGGATATTATGGGTCCATTCCCTAAGACCACCCCCAGAGGGAAACGGTTCATATTGACCCTCATAGATTTTGCCACCCGATGGCCTGAAGCAATGGCTATAGGAAGCACTTCGGCCAGGAACGTGTCCTAGGCATTAACAGATATCTTTGCCAGGGTAGGCTGGCCTTCAGAGATCCTCACGGACTCAGGGACCAATTTCCTGGCAGAGGCAATGAAACGCCTCTGGGAAGCTCATGGGGTAGAGCACTTGGTTGCTACCCCCTACCACCACCAAACCAATGGCCTGGTGGAAAGATTTAACGGGACTTTGCAAATCTGCATATCATGGCTCGCAAACGAACGCTCCAACGACTGGGACCTGGCTTTGCAACAATTACTGTTTGCCTATAGAGATGTCCCACAACCTAGTTTGGGATTCTCACCTTTTGAACTAATGTTTGGGCGCGCAGTTAAGGGTCCCTTACAGCTAGTAAGGCAACAATGGGAGGGGACTAACCCTTCCCTGGGAACCAACAGTTTGGATTTTGTGCACAACCTCCAAAATACCATTAGAGGCTCTCTAGCCATTGTCCAGGATGCTCAGCAAGAGCAAAAGGCCTGGTATGAGAACCATGCCAGAGAACGGTCCTTCAAAGTAGGGGAGCAAGTCATGGTGCTGAAGGCGCTCCAGGCAAATAAGGTGGAAGCATCCTGGAATGGGCCATTCACGGTCGGTCCAGGAACGTCTAGGGGCCATTAATTACCTCATAGCGTTCCCTAACCCTGACCTTAAGCCTAAGGTCTATCACGTCAACTCTGTAAAGCCTTTTTATTCCCGAGAACTCAAGGTTGTTCAGTTTACAACCCAGGAGAAGGAAGATGCAGAGTGGCCCGAGGGAGCCTGCTACGACGGGAAAGGCAAGGGCGAAGCAGAAGAGGTAAGCCTCTCCCTGAGCCTCAGGGTCAGCCAATAAAAATGCAGAGAGGGATTTCAAACTGGGACAAAGGAATGTTTAGGTTTTTCCCTCCTTTGTCCCGGGGCAGTTTCTCTCCAGCTGCTGAGCACAGACATGTCTCCCTCTTCACTATCTGGAAGTAGGGGAACGTGGAGATCAATCCGTTCGGTTTTGTTGTTTCATGGTTTGGGAAATGGGATCGGATGTCTGTGCATTTCAAAAAATATTTTTTTGCTCCCCTTTGTAATTAAGCTCCTGGCCCATGGTGGGGTCCCCCGATGAGTATATTAATTGGTGACTTTTCCATCTAGTCATTCTGCTGGCAACAGGAATATTGTGGTGATGATAAAAGTTCTTTCTCTTTTCTTTTTATTAACCTGGGATTGGTTAATTTGTGTGTCCTGGTTTTTACTTTAGGGCTGAGATTTCCCAAGTGGTCTTTCCCTGGTTTTCTCATTATGACTTGGGTGGTGGCAATGGATTTTTATCCTCAAAATCTAGGTTTTTAAGATTTTGGGGGGAAGTTTTCTACCAAAGCCTGGAAAGATAAGGGTTTGGGGTATTTTTGCGGGCCCCCGCGTCTGCATTTATCATGCCAGGAGGAGGGAAAATGCCTTGACAGGATCAAAGAGAGAACAGTGGCCCCAGAGACATTTAAGATACCCTAGCGTGCCGAGGCATTACAGCACCCAGAATGCAATGCCTGGGACAACTGCTATCCCCCAGGCAATGCAAGGTGAGTTATGAATTCTGTTGGCCCTATTTAAGTCCTTAATGCTCATCTCTACCCTTAGGATTCTTAGGGCATCCAGACCTAAAGAAACCTCCCACTTCCCCCCATGCCAAGGGCTCATTTCACAGCCACCGCCTTAGCAGCTAAGCACTGAAGATGACTTTGAGCCAGTCCACGCTGCTCCTAAGTCTGCCTGCAGAGCGACAGAAGGGTGTGCACAGCTAAGCCATGGGGGCACTCTTCCCCGATGAGCAGAACAGGCACCCTGCCACTATGAGCTTGGTCTGAACAGTGCAGGGCAGGGCAGGGCAGGGCATCACACACAGGGCAGCCACAGCGAATGGCTTCGTGGCACCCACCGCTAAGGCAAACCACCCTTCAGAATGCCCGGGGCCGTCCACACACAGTGCTGTTGGGCAGTTGCCCACTGAAGCAAAGCTCAGGAACGCCATGTTTACAGAGGGCATTTAACCCAACAGCTCATCGGCCGTCTATGCAGCGAGACCAACCTACGTGAAAAAGAACAGTGGGATGTGAGCTCATATCACAGTCCTCCTGTGGGTGCTATGGCAGTCCCCATGCCCCAGCCATATACGATGAGACCCTTTGAGCCCACTTGTGTATTGGCCAGGAAGTTGCAAGGACGCATCTAATCTCAGGAAGAGAACATCTCTCCTTAGATGAGCCGCAGGATACCTTTGGGGCGGCAGCATTCAACTCTGCATTCAGACTTCCTGCAGCTAGCCCCCTGCACTCTCCTGCAGAATCACTCCGCCTTTACCTGCTACTGACACTTTGTTTCTTGGCAAGAAGCTGTAAAAGAAAATGAGACCAACATGCGGCAAAGGAGGATGTTCCTACGGATCCCTTTGGAACGAGCCCCGTACAAATAAGGCTGAAACACAGTGCGCTTTTGTTTACCATTGCAATGGGGAACCTGCTGCACACATTCTTCAGGCCTTTCGAGAGCCAGTGCTCTGCAGAAATCATTTGTAACTGTCAAATGTTTATCATCTGCAGTGTTTCAAACTGGGGAACTCCAGGAACTGGGACAGAGCCAGCGGATGGTGAGAAATAAAGTAACCAGTGAGCCACAATCCGATGGAGGTGCCCCTCCCCCCCAAGACAGCATACACGTGAGTTGGACGAGATCCTAGGGTCACAACGTCCCAGACACCTGGCAGCAACATTCCGCCAAGTGTAGCTAACCCGGAGGTCTCTGGCGTAAGGCGTCTGCGGCCAGGCGCTACGTTATGCAGCAGTCGCGGTGAATGCAAGGGGCGCAGCACACGCCCAGGAGGGAACTGTACAAGCGAATGCTGGAAACAGAAGTTGCAGACATGACTTTACCAGCAGGCCTGCCGGCGGGGGACAGCTGTCCTGAGCCCAGCCATTTCCACAGGCCCAGGGCTCCCATCCACTGCAGTGGCAAAGGCAGCAGCTGGAGCTCCAGGCCCTTTTAAATTGCTTCCGGAGCCTGCACAGTGCTGAGAGGCTGCCTGGGGGAGGCTAGTCCCAGCCCCGCCCTTCCACCTCTGGCCCTGTCCTTCCCAGGGGCTGAGAGCATCCCCCCACCTTGCACAGGGCTGCCCGGCTCAGCATCCTGGGGGAGCTCATTTTATAAGGAGTCAGGGTTATTTCGAAGGAAGGGTTTGTTCCAAAATAACTGCGTCTACACAGTGTTTTTTATTTCGAAATTGGGTATTTCGAAATATCGGCCGGACTCAATTATGCAAATGAAGTGCAGGAAATTAAAATCCGCGCTTCATTTGCAATTTCGCTCGGCTGCATTTGCATTCCTCTCTCGAAAGTGTAGACTTACCCAGTTATTAATCTGTTAGATGGAGTGCCAACGAACTGTCCCGGAAGGTTTCCCTGGGAACGGGTGTCAATGTATTGATTCAAGCCCTCCCCTCTTTGCTTTGCTTTCACCCTCCTGCTAGGCACGGAAGAGTGTACTTGTAGGCAGCATCAGGTCATAATTGAAAAAGACAGAAATGTTCAATATGACTCATACATAATTCAGCTTATCCGCTGCCCTGGAGAAAAAGAGGAGAGGTGTTTGCACGTCTACCTCACCCACCATCAACAGGGGAAAATAATTTTCAATTACACTAAGTTGATGCAGCTCTGCTCACACACAGGACTGGGAATTACGCAGAAAACGCGTTGGGCGGAGCAAGCAGCAGATGAAGGATGCGGCAGGGACTCGAATCACAGAATATGCCCGTGTGTTGGAGCTCTTGATGATACCTGTCTCAACGGACTGAGTAGAGGAAGTTGCCCATCAGAAGAGACAGTGTGCC